ACACACACACACACACACACACACACACACATACCCTATAGTGGACTTACGACATAATGCTCCGGTCTATTAGTGGGGAGCGCCAACTGGTGGAAAACGGGTAGAACAACCCATGCACATTGTGAATAAAGCACCAGCCGTGACCCCACACACACACACTTTTGGAGTTGTGTATAGCGAACATGACAAACATGAACACGCATAATAATTACCTTGTTACGATCCTGGTCATTTCCCAAGGCGGGACCTTTACGTTTCTTGTCACGCTCATAGGCTCTGACTATGTCGGGAGCAGTCTCTAGAAGTTCTGCTTTCGTGAACCAGTGGTCGTCTTCTGGTTCCTAATAGGCAAACCGGACTTTATACTATTTCTGGGGACGACCTCTACCTCCTCCTAAACACATCCTCTTCTACAATGCCCTCTATGTCATAGCTCCCATCCATATCCAGTGGGATCATGGATCTCCTGGAAGGGAACTGTTGACTTGCGACACACGGCAGCAGCTTTGAAGCATGAAACACAGGGTATGTGTGGAGGTGTGTTGGAATCTCAATGTTGTAGGACGGTCCATCCTCTCCGCCCTTGACTTCTAGAACCGGCCACGGTCCTCTATATGCAGGCAGTAACTTCTGCAAGATGTTTTCTTCCGGTGCAAACTCTTTTGCTTTGACCCAGACTAAGTCGCCTACTTGAAACTGTGATGGGCGACGGTGCTTGTTAGCCTGCTCTATCATTCTGTGTTGGGCCTTCCGAAGGTTCTCAACAACAGTGGCTAGGTCCTTTTCGTGCTGTATCGCAAACTCCCTGGTACCGGGCGGTAATCTGAGAATCTGATCCCGGTCCAGTCCTTCGAACAGTCTGCGCGGTCTAAAGGACTTGTGCAACTCATTGGGAGTGCGGCAGGTGGATAGATGCACGCTGTTGTTGTACGCGCTAGCGACCCTGGGCAACATCTCATCCCAATTGAGCTGATCTGGTCTAATATACATGCGCAGAACTTGTTGTAGGATCTTGTTCATCTGTTCTGTCTGGCCGTTAGTCTCTGGGTGACGGTCGGACGACATTAACAACTTAGATCCGTAGACTCTCATGAGTTCTTGCCAGTTCTGGCTGGTGAAACGACTATCTCTATCACTAACTATTGACAATGGGATTCCATTCTCACTAACCCAAAAGTCAAAGAACTTTTGTATTACTAAATCTGTACGGGCCTCTGCAAGCAAAGGAACAAAAAACTGCATACTTACTAAAATGGTCGACTATGACCATGACTTGGCTCTTACCATGTCTGCTCTTGACTTGCGTGTCCATGAAGTTTATGGACACTGAGTCTCCCGGCTGATCCGGAAKAGGCAAGGGTCTGAGAAGACCTAGGGGCGCGCGTGTAGTAGATTTGTTTCGCTGGCATACTTTACAACTGCAGACATACTCTATRCAGTCGTTCTTCATCCCTGGCCATGTGTACGCACGCATTAGATTGGCTAATGTCTTTTGCCAACCGAAGTGTCCCTCAGTATCGTGACATTCCCCTAGAATTAGACTACGAATCTCTTCGCTATTGGGAACGCACAGGCGGTCAAACACATTAGTCTTCTCAAACAGCAACCCGTCTGTAGTGCGGTAATCTGGTTCGGTCTCTGGGGCCTCTCTAACTCTCTTTAGGAGGTCGCTATAGATAGGGTCCTGCGTATACGCTTGTCTCACTTTCTCCTGCAGGTCTCTCCCTATATCCAGATAATGTACTACGGNTCACTTTCTCCTGCAGGTCTCTCCCTATATCCAGATAATGTACTACGGCTCCAAAGAAGTCTGATCTCTTACTTAGAGCATCCGCCACTACATTGTACTTGCCCTTCACTGGCTTGAGCTCAAAGTCGAATTGGTCTATCTCTGCGGCCCACCTAGTCAACTTAGGTGTCATCTTGGCTTGGGTCTTCAACCATCTAAGTGTTTCATGGTCCGAGTAGACTTTGAAGTGCCTCCCAAGCAGGTAGTGCTTCCAATGGTATAAAGCCTGCCTGAGGGCGTAGAGTTCTCTTTCGTACGTGGAGGTAGCGACTTTCTTACAAGGCATCCTCGCAGATATGAACTCTACGGGTCTATAGCCATTGCCGTCATCTTGTTGCAACACGGCGTCTATCCCATACTTACTCGCGTCCATGGTGACAACAAATGGCAAGGACGGATCTGCAACCTTGAGGACAGGATACTCTATTAACGCGCACTTCACCTTTTTTAGCACAGACGTACAGTCTTTATCCCATTGCCAGATTGTCTCTTTCTTCAACAACCTGCGCAAGGGAGCGGCGATAGTGGAGAAATTCCTCACGAACTTCCTGTAGTAGTTAGCTAAGCCTAGGAACGACCGCAACTTTGTCAACGTGCGGGGCGTTGGCCAATCTCTAACCGTCGCTATCTTGTTTTCCTCTGGCTTAATGCCATCTCCATCCAACACGTGGCCCAAGTACACGACTTGCGTCTTGCCCCACTCGCACTTCTTCGCATTGATCTTGAAGTTAGCCTCTCTAAGCTTCTCCAAGACCTGCCTCAGATGACCCTGGTGCTCCTGGAGGGTCTTACTAAAGACTAGGATATCATCTAAGTAGACTACCACAAATTTATCTAACCACGGTCTAAACAGGTCATTCATACAACGCTGAAAAGTAGTTGGCGCGTTGGTAAGTCCAAAGGGCATCACTATAAACTCATAATGCCCATATCTAGTCCGGAATGCAGTCTTGTACTGATCATCCGGATGGACTTTTATCTGATGGTATCCGGACTTTAAGTCTATCTTAGAGAAATACTTACAACCCTGCACCCGATCTAAAAGATCGTCTATCCTGGGCAGCGGCTCAACATTCTTCACTGTGATCGCATTCAAACCCCTATAGTCTATACACATACAAAGCTCTCCTTCCTTCTTGGGGACAAACAACATTGGTGCTCCAAAAGGAGACGAACTAGGCCTGATCCAACCTTTCTCAAGGAGTTCGTCTAACTGTTTGCGAAGCTCCTCTAACTCTCTAGGGGACATCCTGTAGATTGCACTCTTAAGAGTTCTACTGCCAGGCTCTATCTCTATCGGATTCCTGTGCTGGATGGGTCGCGACACTACTCCTGTCGGTGACTCAGTCAAGTCTTTGAATTCTACCAGCAGCTTGGCAATTGTTGGATCTGTGGAACTATCCTTTTCCTGGGCCTCAGTGACAGATCTAACATAAACTACAAAGACTTGGTCTTCTAACTGCTCCTGGTTGACGAATCGCGCGAACGCGGAAGCACTGAGACATCAATGTGCCAAGGTGTTGTCTACACCCGACACGTGGAACAAGCGGGCAGTCTTAACCTCACCTGACAGACTAGGGAGCCTACACTCATGCTCTCTCAAATGGAGTGTGGCCCCTGATGCCTCTCCCCAATCCATTCCTAAAACTATATCGAAAGGAAGGTCATCCTGCACGAGGAGAGTCAAAGAATGGAGGACCTTTTCCACTTTTTCATTCTTCTCTAGGCGAAAGTACGTCTGGACTCCCTCTACGTAGTCCTCAACTCGCATCATGCGGTTGTCTGCGAGGATACTAACTATGGGGTCTACTAACTTCTGGACTTTTAGTCCTAGCCTCAGCTTCTTCAGCGCCCTACGGCTAATGTAACTACGGGTAGCCCCTGAGTCTATAAGGGCCCCTACTCTACTTCTGAACACCTCTACGTCTACCAAAATCAGTTGTCCCTTACTCTCCCTTTTCATTTTGGCCCAGGCTGGCATCCTCTCCYTTAACTCTTCTGCCACACCTGTAAGGGACGTGCCTAAAGAAACGCTAACACAAGCAGTCTCTAGACAGCTATCTAGGCACGCACCTGCAACCTCTGTCATAGGCTCATGTGGGTTGGGAGTGTCCTGTTCGCGCGCGCTCACTTCTCCACATGGCCTGGAAGTAGGGGCAGTTGCGGCCCTTACTGGCGGCTGCCTTTTGCCTCCTGAGCAGCCCAACGGGCCTGTCTATACTTTGGAGTCTGGATAAAATTTAATTACGTGCGTCGGGTCACCACAGAATACGCACCGACCCAAGTTCACGCGTTCCTGCCATAATCGCTGGTCCAAGCCCAGGTCTTCCCAGGGCCTGCCCTGTGGCAAGCCTGGGTGCCATCCTCCTTGAGGTGCCCTTCCACCTCCTCGCTGCGGGGACCGGTTACCCTGGCGATGTAACGAAGGACCTTGACCCCTACCTCCCGCTTGGCGGTTTCCCTGTCCGCCAACCCCCTGTGCGCCCGGTCCTCGGCCTCCCATGGCCTGGCCCCTTTGGCCCTGGCCTCCTCCTCTGCCTTGCGGCCTCCCTCCGACCGCGACAGCAGCGTAAGACCTCCCCTGCCCTACACTACTGTACTCCTCCCCTAGGCCCCACTCAATCTGATCATATGGGAGCTCTTCTGTACCACCCTCCTCTAATGTCAGGATCAAGTGATCCTTGGCCTTGACTTGGCCCGAGATGGTACGAGCTTTCCACTTCTTCCCCTTCTCGAAGTCCTTGTGCCAAAAAGTAGTAACTGGCATAGACTTCGACTCATACAGGACGACTTCTCTACTCAATGCATCATAAGTCATGCCGGCCTGCTGAGATTTGTGAAAGAAATGCCCGCGTAGGGCCTCTGGAATGACACGATAAAACAACGGGACCAGTTGGGGCTCAGTGACCCCGTGGTCCGGGACGGCTACCAAGTCGTCCATGGTACCCTTGAGTGCCTTGGCACTCCTCCACTGCCGGGAGTGGATCGTTTGGAGCTTATCAGAGGCTCTAATGCCTCGCGTTGGGTCAGCGAACCGCTCCTTGAGGAGCTTGAGGAATTGGGAAAGAGGAGTGACTTTGGAATATGCAACCAGGTTGTTTTCACAACCGGCTGTATGCGCAAGAGACCTGGCGAAGCTAGCTGCTTCATCTTTGAGGGCCTGGAAGGCCAAAAGGACTTGTTCCTCTGTTAGGATATGTCGCAAGTAAATATAACTATTGACACTGGCCTCCCAGTTGTCAAAGTTCTCGTCCTTCTTTCTCCCGTACGCGTTTGGAAACTTAAGTTTCACTGGGTCCTTACGGGGTCTGGCCTCTCCTTCTACAGCGGCTGCAGCTTTGGCACCCTGAATGGCGCCCTCACAAACTTCCCTATATTGTCTCTTAACTGTTTGACTTCGCCCCCAATATGGATGACGATCTCGCGCGCAAAGTTTCTAAACCCTGACCGCATGGCACTCAAGGCTACATCTTGGCTCCAGCTGGTCTGGCGCTCTTCCATCCAGGCCTTGCTCCGCACCTCCAGGTACCCCAGTACTTTGTCCCACTTGGCCTTATCGTCTGGTTGGGCCAGCACCTCCGCTCTACACTCCTGCACCTTTGCCACTGCTGCGGTCATCTTATTCACCTCCTCTCTTCTCCTCTTCTTCTCCCTCTTCATTCTCAGCTTCCATGCTAACTTTTGCTCATTTTCCCTCTCTCTTCGTTCCATCGGGTGTGTCATGGCTGCTAGCTCAGCGGCCAGCGCAGCCTTCTCATCCTTAGTCACATATGACTCCGCCTCCTCGTCTTCCCTCAATGATAAATTAGCGACCCACTCGCTGATCTTCTTCTCCAGCTCAGTATCTGTCTCCCACTTCATCGTGTCACCACTGCTCGCTTGTCCACTCTCAATTCTCATTCTCTCTTTCTCTTCTTCTGCTGCCGCTTCTGCTTCAGCAGCCTTCCTTCTTTCTTCCTCCTCCTGTTGTACCCTGTTCATCTCCTCCTCCAACCTCTTTGTCTTCGCCGCCTGCTCATCTGCAATAGCCTTTAGCTTCGTCTGCTTCTCGCGCTCTTTTCTCTCCTTGTTCTCTTTCACTAAGGCGGCCATCTTTGCTTGCTGCTCAGGGGTGTAGGGATTAGTCTCCTTCCCAATGCGGGTCTCAACCATGGTGATAGGTGTACAACTAGGTTAGAGGTTCCAAACCTCACCATGTAGACGCCAACCCCTGACTAACAGACCCACTGACTCAATCTAAGACTTACAGAATCCTGACAGGGATCCTGTCAACTATGGCCTCTAGCCTAGACCTATGCTATGGCTGTCACTACTGAACCAGTGGCTGATCAGGAGGCATTTAAGGAGATCCCCCATAACTCCTCAAGAATTCTTTAACGTCGCAGACAGGACGACGTGATCAGCTTAATTCTGCCTGTGCTTTCAGCCCACAACTCAGCCTTCCCGGCCTACTGTGCCACACCGAGCAGCCCGCCGGTTTGTACCGGTCCTTGGGAGGGTTTGACCTCCGGGACAGTCGAGTCGTCAGACACAGATCATCAGCCTTATTGGGTCTGGTAGGGGAGTGGTTCCAACAGGCCCTCAACACTTAAAGACGACCTCCGTTTCAGCCTCCAGCTCAGAGTTCGGACCCTTTACACTGAAACTCAGCAGACCTGCCGGACAGTACCGGTCATTGGGCTAGACGAGTTGTTTAACGAGCGCTCGCCGCTCATGCCCAGGTCCCCAGATACCAGAATAAAGATTAGTCCTACTAAGTCCCGTGCAGGTTTGGCAGCAAGGCCCTATCMTTCATCCACAGAGTTCTATGACCTAGGACAAAAGAGACTCAATGCAGAAAGAATAGGCAGACATACTGTACTCAGCAAGTACCAAAGGGTATGTGCACATCCATAGGGCAAGGGGCAGGCTAAGGGCTTGGCGAGATGTTACCAACTCCAGCTTGGTCAAAGTCTTGGTCAACGCCTTGGTCAACGCCGGTCAATGCTGCTATGACCCTCGGTCAACTTCGGTCAACTCCGGTCAAC